AACAGTATCCCTTTTCACAGTATAAAAAAACCTGGTATGGTTTAACATGGTGTTGGGGTTTTCTGTACCGCCCACGTCTACTTATGTACCGGTTGGTTCGAAATACCCCCTCAACAGTAAAACGTATTAAGAATGACTTTCTCGCCTACTCAAAGGTCGATCTGACTGAAATTGGCATACTTCCGCTAATCTTCACTGTTGTTGTTTATGGTGACATAAACTTATTGCTCTGTATTTATGTTAACATTAACGTTATGGGGTACTGGCTGAAGCGAATCTGCTGGCACAACCTCAGTGCCAAGGGAACCACTTTGAGGTATTAGCTGCAGTCGAGTCGAGAGAATCTGCTCATGTTGGTGACCGATGAATGTGTGGCCCCTTCAGTGAACAGTGTGTATTTTACTTAACTGTGAGTGTTCTGAAACAGATTTCATCATGTTTGATAAGCTGTTCTGACATCGAACGTATACAATTCTAATGGGGTATCGGCAGCCATTGCTGTATGCACCAATGCGTAGGCTGTCGATACATCGACGTTTTCAGAGGCAAGGTTTTTGTGTGAAAAGGCATGTTGAGTTCGAGGTATCGAATGGAATAATATACCTGATTTTGACCTATCAGAAATAAGCATTCTTCAGTGTCATTGTAGAATTATGCTCAATCCTGATCAAATGATTCCATATTTCAATCACAGTTGTTAGCCCATTATGACAATGTTAAAGGGGCACTGATCTAAAGCAATTCCCCGGGACTGGTGGTTGCCTTTGTTATTGTTTTTTCCCCGTGAGTACCCGGATGATACGCAACGCAACTGAGCGTGACAAGAGACTGGGCTACTGTCTGCAAGGACAGCTGAATAAACTTGGAGGCAATAATTGTTTTACTCATTTTTGAACACTGATTGGTTAACCGTGATCTATTAGGATTTCGACAAAGGGCGCATGTTAATTAATTTCTTCAGCCTAAACAATCAGACAAAAAGAAGCACATCGGATGTCGTCATTTGGAAATAGTTATATGATTGTTATAGTTTAATAATAAAAGAGTATCCATGCAATGAAAGCATTTTCGGATTTCGGATTTCGGATTGCGTCGATAATACGATTACTACTCCCTTGTTGTCATCCACGTTTTCTCGTATACCCTACACTTGTGTGTATTTGTCGTCATTCACTTGGTGCTCAGTTAAAGAATTTATTACAGGTAAAATTAGTGGTAGCACCGCTCAGAATACCTGACAAAGGTTTCCATTTGGCATTTATTGTGTCTGGGGTAATTAATAAATCAAAATCCAGGTTTGAAGTGAGGTGAAATGTGTATTATGTAATATGCACGTGGCAGCCCAGCAAGAGATAAATGATCAGTTGATTTACTTTTTTGTAAATCAACGGATCGTTCCTAGTCATCAAAGGGTTGACAGAAAATACATTGATTGATTAATCACTGTTATCTTGCACAGTGGATATGTCAAAAGTGAGTGTTTACATGTCTAGGTTTACTAAAACAAAGGGAATACACTCATATCATGGCGTGAAGTGCCGATGTAAAAACAACATACTTTGTTCAAAGGGTTAACCGATAATGTATTGATTGATTGCTCATTGTTATCTAACTCAATGGATTTTTTTAGGAACCGAGGACGTTATGAAAATAGTTGTCACGTGGGCTTTCTCAGCCGACCTTTGAGACATGACACCTATGTGAAACACCTGAAACAATCTAAGTGATCAGTTGAGAAACGAACACCGGTCCTTCTAAATAATGGTGAATCTGCGAAGCAAATACGATTTTATTTTATTCGAACTGACGAGGTATTCGTCCGGGCAACGTCGGGGAGCATCTGGTGGGAGCGTCCGGGAGGTTTCATCAGACGACGGAAACGTCCGGGAGGTTTCATCAGGCGCCCGGAAACGTCCGGGAGGTTTCATCAGGCGTCCGGGAGTTTAAAGATACAGTGCAGACAATAAAACATGTCTTTCTCAGTTTGGTAAGATCGTGAGAATATCAACTGGCGTACGTGTTTGCCACGTGCAGCGGCCAGAAACTTCCGGTTACTGGTACTTCCATTTTCTGGCCGCTGCACGTACGCCAGTTGATATTCTCACGATCTTACCAAACTGAGAAAGACATGTTTTATTGTCTGCACTGTATCTTTAAACTCCCGGATGTCATTTTGACTGAAAAATCTGTCCATTTCTTTAACAGATTGACTAAAACTGATTAAGACGATCAAAAGGGCCTATAAACATCACAATAGATTATTATGTAGGATTAGAAGCCAAACAATATAGAAATGTACTTTTCATCGTAACATTTTCAGTCTCTTGGTGATGATATTAAACATAAAAATGTTTGGAATTCGTTATCATAATATTACAGATGGACACATTTTTCAGTCAATTTGTAAAATAACTGAATATTCAGGCTTTTAATAAATTTCCTAAGTGAAAATTTTGCACATTTCTGACTGTAAAAAATATAAACACGATAAAATAAGCAATCCTCAGGAGAAATATTTACTTTGTGTTGCAAGTCAAAATAGTGTAAACGAAAATCGCACAATTACCAAGCAAGTGACTTATCAAAAGTTCGTCACAATTAGAGATGCTACCCACAAAGATACCTACATTTCCTTATTATTTCCAAAACTGTATTTCATTTTGATGATAGATGTGACCATACGCCCTTATACTATCAATAAAAGTGACAAATGCGCTTACGAATGGCGCAGCACAGGTCGCGAACTAGTCTAGGTTTCTGCTATATCACCCGGGTACTCGCGGGAAAAAAACAATTACAAAGGCAACAACCAGTCCCCTTTAACGTGTCTCTTTTAGAAACCGAAATGTACATTTAGTTACTCATTTAGAAGACAAAGCGTTTATAAAGAGTCTTTTGTAAATTGAGAATTTCATGACACACTTTTCATGTAAATAATTCACGGAATATTAAGACAGGTACAGTGGATTATTCAAATTATGTATGCACGCATTGTGATAACGGTGTTGTAGATGATGAACACCTTGTTATCTTCATTTGTCAAAATTGTTAGGAGCCACTTACTTGCTTAGTTTTGGACCCGTGAAGATCCGGGGTAGAATAGGTCTTCAGAAACCCATGCTTGCCGTAATAGGCGACTATGGTTGGCGTAAGAGGTGACTAACGGGATCAGGCGGTCAGGCTCGCTGACTTGGTTGATGCATGTCATCGTATCCCAATTGCGTGGATCGATGCTTATGATGTCAATCACTGCTTTGTCTGGTCCAGATTCGATTATTTACAGACCGCCGTCATATAGCTGGAATATTGCTTAGTGTGGCGTTAAACAACAAACAAACAAACAAACTTAGTTTGGGTTTTAACGTGCACTTTCCGACATATGCGTATTTCGCGCACGGGCCCGCCAGTCCATTTAGTGACGTGGTCGAGAAGAGTATGTCTAAAAGGTAAGGCAACCTGGAGGGGCTTTATGGTCACTTAAATCATTTTGGCGGAAATTTGGAATTTTGAAATATGCCATGCAAATAAGGTGGGGGAACTAAAGGAGTTGTGTGTTTTTATAGATTAATAATTTATGTTATATTGGTAGTTTGTTTGCTGTGTTTGTTGGTTTTTGTTTGTTTGTTTGTTTGTTGGTTTGTTGTTGTTTTTAATGGGGCCGAGTAGGCCTGTTTTGATTAGATAATGCATAGTGCTTTATATGTTTGTAAGTTATTTAAGGGGTTTAGTAGAGTTGCTAGTGTCATTTGGATGTTGTAGCTTATTGTGGATTTCAGTGTTATTCTGTGTTGTTGGTAATGTGTGCAATGTAGTATTACGTGTTCAGGAGTTTCTATTTGGTTGCAATGTGGGCATTTACCGGTTTGATGTTTTTTTTAATTTGGAGTAGGTGTGAGTTTTGTTTAGTGTGGCCTGTTTGTAATTTGGTTATTGTTCCTTTGGTTTTATGATGGATTTGGGGCTTTTTGAGTGGCTTTTGTAGCAGGTGTTTCAGTTTGCAGTTTTGATTTCTGATAGTTGTTTTGCCACTTTTGGAAGATTTTTTCCTCCGTAATATTTTTAATTTCGTTTTTAGATATTGGAAGGTTGATGCTTACTTCTTCTAATTTTAGTGCTGATTTAGCTGCTTTGTCGGCGTGTTCGTGAGTTAGGAGCCAAATATCTAACATCTTTTATTGCTATTACTTGTCTCGTCTTGTCGTCTCTTGTGTGACACGTGTGTCTTGTCTTGTGTGTGTATTGTATTGTCTTGTGTGTCTTGTCTTAACTGTATTTGTCTTCTCATCTCATGTGTGACACTTGTGTCTTAAAGTCTCGTGTGTGTTATCTTATTTTGTCTTTTGTGTCTTGTCTAGAGTGTCTTCTCTTGTGTATCTTGTCTTGTATTTTGTGGCTTCTCTTGTCTTGTGTGTCTTGTTTTGTTTATCTTGTCTTGTCTCCTGAAACAAGAGTTTAGCTGCTTGGCTATGTTTTGTGTCGGAGCATGACGAGTACTCTGCAAACACAACAACAATCCCTTGAGCATATTCACCCGTCACATCCTTGTCACATGAAAGCGCACATAAAAACCCCATCTCTCTCTCTCTCTCTCTCTCTCTCTCTCGTCAGATGATCTGACTGAGCGTGTCGGTGTACCTGGATATCCTGGATTTGCCACGGCGTCAGAGATAAGGCAGGTATTAACGAACGCCACTCATTCTCATCACTTTAAAGTTGTTCGAACTAAAGGCACATAACGATGACAAATTTGTGGCATGCAATTCACGCTGTGTTGAAACCGGAACTGATTCTTCGTAAAACCCATAATGACAGAACATCGGCGTTCACGATCGGCTGCATCTTGCAATTGTATTCCGTATGTTACTTCCAAGTTACTATTTACTATTCCTCGGCTCTTTATGGTCATGAGGTCCATAGGGCACGAACGGTTTCTAGCAGTCTGCTCCTCGGCGCTGTCCATGTCATACACAATGTATGTCGGGAATAAAACGACACGCATATACTTTAAACAGTTTAATAAACGGCAATATGTACACGCATGAAGATTGCTAAGGTAGCCGAACATTGTTGAACTACATAAAAGGGTCAGAATGGAATCGGATTTCCTTACCAGGACCATAAGATTAATCTATAACAGTTTTGCGAATCAGGAGGCTAGTCTGGCACGGGTGGTCAACAGTGTGGCAGGTCGTGGGTTGTATCAATGGAATAATTCTCTGACCAGTCTAATAATTAGTGAATAATTAGGAACGGTATGTGACGGAGAGAATAGCATTATTGAAACTTCATCCGTCCTCCGATTAAAATAGCATTTTTGTTATATGTCAACGTCTGATCTTATGCCGATATCTACTGCCTTAAAAGACTGTCTGGTGTTCCTTACCGAGTCCCAAAACGCTGCCATGATTTGATTTGAATATCTCCAACAATAATGAGTCTCATTTGAAACATGTAGAAAAGCACAATGGTGGAATCGAACTGTTTCCGATGATCAGGTGACAGGTCTGAGAGGACTGTATTCCCGATGGGAAATCGCACTGTCTGCAGCATGGAGATAGAAGCTCCCTTATGTCGCCTCCACTGCCAAGTTACTGACCCATGCTCAGGGCACCGGCGCCCCCTCCGAATCCGAAACCCTTCGGACCATGACGCTTTCCGTAGCATCCTGAAAAATGAAGTCAACATTAATTGTTACAACGACTAGGGAGAAGAATCTGTATCTACTTACCCTAAAGTCACGTTTCGGCAACTCACTACTCTATTGGGCAGCCATACCACTACGTGTAACGCCAAGGAGTTCAGGTTAGTTTTTTGTTTGTTGTTTAACGCCGCACTCAGCAATATTCCAGCTATATGACGGCGGTCTGTAAATAATCGCGTCTGGACCAGACAATCCAGTGATTGATATCATAAGCATCGATCCAAGCATTTGGGATACGATGACATGCACCAACCAAGTCAGCGAGCCTGACCACCGATCCCGTTAAGTTCAGGTTAGTGTTCAACAGGGAAGAAAGGAAATGCATACTATCTGTTAACATGCATACCATATTGAAACACATTCTTAAGAAAGCTCGTAGAGAACATCTTTAGCCAACGTAAACATCACGACATTTTCAATTCCTAAAGAAAATGTTGGAGTATGAGTTGCACTTGTGTGCTTCTGATACATGTTAATGTGTGAAATAAGAGCATGCTGGCTGTTGCTATTGCCGGGTGTGTTCCAGGGATACCTAGCACATTACCGGAGTACATGAACATGTTCTTCTATACTTTCCAACATTCGACATATGAAGGTCTTCTATGGAACAATTCTTATTGGAAACAATCCCCAGCAATGTAGTCTCCAGCGTCATTAATACCATGCCCTGACTAAACCTACAATAATATATCAATTACCCAGGCGTCAAGGAATTGTATATGTGTACACATGGTGTTACGACAGTAAGCTTAAGATATCTGTCCGTTCATCCCTATGTTGTGTGCAAGTGGTCATGTCGGTGTGAAGTCAAGTACAGAGATATGATACAGTTGTTACACAATGTATTGGGTGTCTATGCTTTGTACAGCGTAGTTCTTCATACTATATTCGTTAGGCCCCTTTGTGTTAGATGAAGAGACACCCCCCCCCCCCTCCCCCCATCCACCCACACACGGCAATATTTTCCGTTTAATAACAGACCAAAAGGCCAGAACCGTTTTTAAAGTGTACACCTCAGGCTCATAATCATAATCACGAATAAAAGCAACTCAGTTTATTGAGGTCAATTGAATATGAGGCACTGCATCCCGATGGTATTGCGGAAGAAATCTTGTTTAGTATAGCCATATCATTATTTTCAAGTAATTTTATTTCTCTACATTTCAACACATACCTTTACAAAAGAGGTCCATCTCGTGCATGGCCATTGTGGTAGAGTCCACGGCTTTCTTGCAGTCTTGGCAGCGGAAACAGGACTTGTGCCATGGCTGATATACAACACATTACATGACCTTTCCATGACAATATCAAAGGTGTTCCTTATAAAACTCTGTTATGTGTCTAAATGTATATCTTTTCTTTTCTTTTCTTAGAAGCGCATTGACAGGAGGCACATTAGGGAATTAGATTTACTTTATGGAATGTATAAAACGATCTATGTATGGAACATATAATGTATCGTCTTGTGCCGTCGACTGATCAAATGTTAAATAAGCAACATTTAGAAGAGCCAGGGACATCATAACATGACACATTTTGATTCATCCACATCTGTCCGTGAGTGTTGTTTCCTGTAACGTGACTGCATAAGGCAAGACATGTAATCATGTTCTGGTGAGTAAAACACTCTTTATAGCTGTAGTCCGTGGAAGTGATAGCCTATTACTGCAGTTAAAATCGCTTTTTGATAATATATATATATATATATATATATATATATATATATATATATATATATATATATATATCGTAATTTCGTGTCCACTGACAGAGAGGTCCGACTTCACACGGGAGGCGACACTATGCCACAGCAAACCAGATCGAGGGATATACTGTCAGCAGACAACTGAGAGTTTGGACGCTAAAGCAAAGTATGATAGCATGATATTGGTCATATAAGTTTTTATAAACGTAGATATTGTACAAATAAGAGCAAGGGAAGTTGACATTGCGGTGAAAGGTTGATTGCGATTGCATCTATCTTTTTAGAAAAGATATGGGGCGATTGACTTTGTGTTTGATATAATGGTGTGCGCATGCTCTAGATTTCTGTTAGTCTGTTGCTGCAGGTGTTTTCTACCAGCTGTGTGCAGTACTCTCTCTGCCACTACTGACATCGGAAGTCCATAGTGGAAAACACACACGCAGTTTTGCTTGCTTGCAATGTAGATGCACCCAGCTGTGAGTTAACATAGACTATTTCCTAGTTTCATTGACAGTCTTTTAAGCACTCTTCGGGTCGTACTTTTTAATGGATTGATAGCTGAAGCAGTATTATACTGAGGTACTGAATGTATAGCAGTGTCTTCTTTGCATGTACAATATGTGCACAATAACGTTTTCGGGAAACACAGAGAATATTTAATGTTTTGAGCTGGATCTGTGTATAAATAGGTTATGCATTTCAAGCATACTCTGATCACCAATGTCGCAGTATTTTTAAAATGGGGTTATAATATTTGATAAAACTGAGTCATCTGAAGGTTACAAAAATACACTTATCCAAGGTAATTTAGCTCTAGAACATGACTGTTTATCCTTGAAAGACCGTGATGTACTGAGAATGAGATGATGCAATCATAATCGAACGGGAAGATGGCAAAATACACCATTTGTTATATCTTGGGTAATATGTCAGCTTGACCTTTACAAGGTCGTGACAGGAAGTTGTGCTTCCAACAGATTGTTAGTTAAAACTGACCCATATTTCCTTGAAAGTATTTTTAATAAGCTCTTTCTATTTATATTTAAGTTTTTCAACGGAGTGGCCATTGGAAAGTAATGTTTACGATCAAGGGTAATTTTAAAACTTTACTACTGATAATCTATCTTACAAAGTTTATTTTGAAATATTGAATCATTCGTCCATCTCGTTGCCATCGAAACGCATAAACTATATATTCAGAACACTTTCTTAATTACCAGAGGCACCAGTACAGAGCATTCTTTGTTTGTGTGTGAACGTTTCATAAAGAGATATTGAACTGTAGTTGAGCTACTCTCCGTTTCTATGTCCACGGCAATAGTTCGTTTGGGTTTGGGCGATCGATAATCTTGATGTTGATACTTATTTACAATAACAAGAAAAACATTACAATAACAAGAAAAACAAATATAGCATTATTCGTACGTCATATGTGTTTGTGTCGATGGAAGAACAGTTTTCAATGAAATTAAAAAGCTTACATAGTGCAAGTTCGCAAAACTGCGTGTGTGTTCTCCGCTATGGACTTCCGAAGTCAGTAGTGGCAGAGAGAGTACTGCACACAGCTGGTAGAAAACACCTGCAAAAGCAGACTATAGCAATCCAGCGCATGCGCACACCATGTCAACATGTCAGCTCTTCACTGTCGAAACAGGAAGCGAATGGGTTACCGGCCTGTTATTACCTCAAGTTGTGGGTATTAAATTATTACAGGCACGCGTACAGGTAGGGAAAGGATCAGACAGTAGAGTGACATCAACCTTTCAGTCACACACCCATGAGAAATTTGCACGAGGGGTAATAGGCCACCTCGGTCTGAAGAGGATTTATGAAGGTGATGTAGGGTCTTGTGGGGCTTGATTGTCTGACCCCATCGCGGCTCTCTCTCGGGTACTATTACAGGTGTTGGAGCGGATTCCTAGACTAACGAGCGAGAGAGCAGACTACTCGAGGATCACTTGTTCCAACCTCTCCATGCTAATGGGGGTCTCATGAGGGGGATTCATTTGCTTCTTGTTACAAGGCCAAAAAGTGAGCGCTTTTATTCTAGAGTTTGCAACCCTGGCGCTGAAGGGGAGGCGCATTATCTGTGGGATGGGGAGAAGTGAGTAACCTGATAGTTCCGTCTGTTAGCATTGCTGGAGACTTGAAACACATGGAGGAATGCAGTGCTCGGGGCACAGTAGTATTTCTGTTTGGTATTTAGCGATTTGTGACCCCTGTTGTGTCGTAATAATAGTTCATACCACAAGTAAGGGAATGGATACTTTGTCAACTAATATGCCTGGCGAGCTATGAGAATACGCGAGTCGCAACAGAGCAGTGGAGTTCAAGTGTCTTGTAGTGAGCAGCTCATGGTAGGGTCGTGTGATGGTCATCTGATGTGAGCATACGCAGGTATGTACATGGACTGTTGAGTTGGGAAGAATTGTGGATTTGTACTATCATGAGTTTCTTTATATTTCTTCCACCTATATAGTGTTTATATATGCATGACCAGTAGGTTGGCGGTTGTGTATAACAGTGCACATGTTCAAGGTATATGTGTGCACACCCGCGCGTGTGTTGGCTGTAGAGCCAGGATGGAATCATAACGTGTAATGTTTAAATAAATGAGTATATTTGGTGTTTCGGGGTTGACAATCTCAGGATGGATCAGTATCGTGTTTATTACAATCAGACAAAATCGCCAACTAGTTTCTGCCATTACAGACCAACACAAGATGCCTTGGGGCAGTGAGCGGTTATTTACTTTCGCGCTAAATTTAACATTTGAAACCACACGCTGCTCGTTCGGTTCCAAATTCAATTTTGCGCGGTTAATTCTTCAGGTAACATAGCTCTACATTGAAAACACAGTATGCTTATCTCCTGATTATGATGGGATTACGTTGTAGTACAGCTGTATGTACACTTGTTTAGGTATATTTTCGTCCATGATAATGTGTATCACTGTGTATGTGTTGACTACAGAGGCAGCATCATAATACTACTTGAATCTTGTGGACGTGCATACTGTATGTCTGCGATAGGTCACATGTGTACTGTAATCCCACCGGTAGTTGTTGTTTGCAGATGTTGAAGGAACATGGTCCCAGGGTATTTTCTCTAAATGGAGATGTTTCCCTCTTGTTTTACGTGTCGGGCAACAAGAAGTTATTTTTGTGAATGACGATGCAATGTATGCAAGATCATACCTAGTGATCATCTTATGTATGTAAGCAACTGCGTTAATAACTCTCGGTCGTATAAGCCGTCAGAAGTCTTATTAGGCAGTATAAGACTGGGCTGCCTGTGTTCGTCTTGAACCATGATGTGAAAGCTTGTTTATGATTGTTATTGGTCGAAATTTGTCACGTTTAGGAATATGGAAACAATATCATATGTATGTGATGTGCTTTAGCTCCTAAAGTACCTGATTTAATCAACAGTTGGTGCACGATTAGTCATTGCCTTTGTTGTATGTGAGAGAAAGTAGAACACTATTGCTTTTTCGAATGATTTATCAAAAGAAGCTACGAAAGCAGAAAACTTTGGAAACCTGTTGCAGAAACTACTTACGATGTTGACACCGATGGCTCTCTCGGCATCGTAGACAGATTTGCCACAACGTGGGCATTTGGGCCCCGTGCCTGTACTTCCAACAACTGCTTGAGTTGGTTTATTGCTGAAATAGTCGACATTTAAGTAAACTACGGTTATAACACGAACATGGTTTACTGTATTCCACTGGAGAATGTGAAGTTGGGTGCCAGATACATAGTGCAGAGATAGGTGGTCGTTACCTTAACGCGGTTCCAAGTTATTGCTCTAAAATCAGAGGATACATGTAGGTGGTTGGTTGATATTGGTAAATTTTGCAAATCACTATTTCCAAACTGTTAAAAATATGTTATCATAATACACCAACAGACAAGATACGTACTCGGAACAGGACGTCTAGATTATCGACGTCTTTACCTCATTTCGCCTGTTTTAACTCCAAACTGGGCACCTGTCTCTGTGCTCAGAGCGCCTGCGCCACCGCCGAAACCGTATCCCTTGGGTCCAAACTGTTTGCCGTGGCATGACCTGCAGTAGAGATGAGCCTCATGGCAGTTGGCATTTGTGCTGTCGAGGGCCTTGTTGCAAGTATCTAGAAACACAGCAGTCATAAAATACACCAGGATACAGCTATACACTATCTATACAATATGTTTTCTTACTACCCATACACACGGCATCACCCATCGTTTAACAGCCATCGTCCTACAGGATGTTCGTGGTTGTTTGCTGTCTAAATGCAAACCATTATTTGATTTATATACGTTTATTATTTTTGTATATTCACACACGTTAGATGTTAGTATTATCATTTCAGTTTTGTCCATGTTTGCAAATGTTTTAGATAATGTTATGAGAGTTAATGATTAAGATGACATATGTATACTCTCTATAACATTGGTATATTTGTCAGGTGTCCCTTACCGCATTTGAAGCACACTTTATGCCACTTGAAACCTCCGGCAAGTCTCTCCTCTGCCGCATAAACAGACTTGTCGCATTTTGGACACTTAGCCATTTCCTTTGGTACGAAAGGCATGATTGTTGTTTATCTCTGAAAGCAAAGGAAAACAATACTGCAGGTGGCCTCATTCAAAGGATGTGTTTGCGTGACCTAAAACCTACATTTTCTTAATATTTGCTTTTAAATGTCCCCAATCACATTATAGAATATGGATGAAAATGTGAAGGAATCAACAGTACTCTTTTTGTTATTTCTGTCACCAAACCGTTTTAATATCTTTGATTGTCATTCAGAAGTGGTAACTTCTTTATTGTGAGGATCATAACGTTAATTGTATATCCTTACTCCTTCATTCACCTGAATTTGAGCTGTAGTGGTTGTTAAGAATAAACACTCGTCTGTGGGCCCACAGCTTTTATTGAGACAATATGACTGATGTCAAGGTACGCCCCTGATCAGTACATTATTACCATCTACCCCTGGGTATTGAGTTCAAGTCAATGTAAGTCCCTGATCAGTACATTATTACCATCTACCCCTGGGTGTTGAGTTCAAGTCAATGTAAGCCCCTGATCAGTACATTATTACCATCTACCCCTGGGTATTGAGTTCAAGTCAATGTAAGTCCCTGATCAGTACATTATTACCATCTACCCCTGGGTGTTGAGTTCAAGTCAAGGTACGCCCCTGATCAGTACATTATTACCATCTACCCCTGGGTATTGAGTTCAAGTCAATGTTAGCCCCTGATCAGTAAATTATTACCATCTACCCCTGGGTATTGAGTTCAAGTCAATGTTAGCCCCTGATCAGTAAATTATTACCATCTACCCCTGGGTATTGAGTTCAAGTCAATGTTAGCCCCTGATTAGTACATTATTACCATCTACCCCTGGGTATTGAGTTCAAGTCAATGTAAGCCCCTGATCAGTACATTATTACCATCTACCCCTGGGTATTGAGTTCAAGTCAATGTAAGTCCCTGATCAGTACATTATTACCATCTACCCCTGGGTGTTGAGTTCAAGTCAAGGTACGCCCCTGATCAGTACATTATTACCATCTACCCCTGGGTATTGAGTTCAAGTCAATGTTAGCCCCTGATCAGTAAATTATTACCATCTACCCCTGGGTATTGAGTTCAAGTCAATGTTAGCCCCTGATCAGTAAATTATTACCATCTACCCCTGGGTATTGAGTTCAAGTCAATGTTAGCCCCTGATTAGTACATTATTACCATCTACCCCTGGGTATTGAGTTCAAGTCAATGTAAGCCCCTGATCAGTACATTATTACCATCTACCCCTGGGTATTGAGTTCAAGTCAATGTAAGCCCCTGATCAGTACATTATTACCCTCTACCCCTGGGTATTGAGTTCAAGTCAATGTTAGCCCCTGATCAGTAAATTATTACCATCTACCCCTGGGTATTGAGTTCAATTAAACGTTAGCCCCTAATCAGTACATTATTACCATCTACCCCTGGGTATTGAGTTCAAGTCAATGTAAGCCCCTGATCAGTACATTATTACCCTCTACCCCTGGGTATTGAGTTCAAGTCAATGTAAGCCCCTGACCAGTACATTATTACCCTCTACCCCTCGGTATTGAGTTCAAGTCAAGGTACGACCCTGATCAGTACATTATTACCATCTACCCCTGGGTATTGAGTTCAAGTCAAGGTACGCCCCTGATCGGTACATTATTACCATCAACCCCTGGGTACTGAGTTCAAGTCAAGGTACGCCCCTGATCAGTACATTATTACCATCTACCCCTGGGTATTGAGTTCAAGTCAATGTTAGCCCCTGATCAGTACATTATTACCATCTACCCCTGGATATTGAGTTCAAGTCAATGTTAGCCCCTGATCAGTACATTATTACCATCTACCCCTGGATATTGAGTTCAAGTCAATGTAAGCCCCTGATCAGTACATTATTACCCTCTACCCCTGGGTATTGAGTTCAAGTCAATGTTAGCCCCTGATCAGTAAATTATTACCATCTACCCCTGGGTATTGAGTTCAATTAAACGTTAGCCCCTAATCAGTACATTATTACCATCTACCCCTGGGTATTGAGTTCAAGTCAATGTAAGCCCCTATTCAGTACATTATTACCATCTACCCCTGGGTATTGAGTTCCAGTCAATGTAAGCCCCTGATCAGTAAATTATTACCATCTACCCCTGGGTATTGAGTTCAAGTCAATGTAAGCCCCTGATCAATACATTATTACCATCTACCCCTGGGTATTGAGTTCAAGTCAATGTAAGCCCCTGATCAGTACATTATTACCATCTACCCCTGGGTATTGAGTTCAAGTCAATGTAAGCCACTGATCAGTACAGTACAAAAATCTAGACTTGCTTCATTTCGGGCTTTCATGTTTTTCATAACAGAAAGGGATGGGCGGAAGGGAAAATAATATGGTTTCAGTTAGACTCCCCGTCTACCAACTGACTGGGATATATGCCAAATAAACGGGTCGGCAAACACGCAACGCGTAGTGAAAGTTCCTGGAAGTGTGCCAATTCACCAAATAGACAAGACGAGCCAGAAATAGACGGTTCCTTGTTTATCCCTCTACAGTAAATCTAAGCTCGTCGGATGCTACAGCTGGACTGGGAAGAGGAAGATGTGTTACCTTCGATCCCCGATCTCTTCCGTGTTCCAGCAAGCAGAACTTGTTTCTTGAAGATAAATGCCATTTATAAAACAGCTTGGTACTGTACAACGATTACTGGTTTCTTTTGAATGAGACCTTTAATCTAGATTGTGTTCTGTGTTGTGTACTGTGTCTTCTAGCCTATTAGCAGGACTCGATGTCTACCAAGTTTGGTGCATTCCTTTGCAAGTATTCATTAAGTAGCGTTTCAACCTCTACATACCATATCAGAACGGGGACATTTTATTTCTTTAGCGAAGGGACATGACGGTCAGGTTTTGGCACACATGCATGTACCGCACACTGAGTTTGACATAATGAAATCGCAGAAACAGGATTAGAAGAAGCGGTGCAGCGTACAGGCTGATCTAATGGTCACGTTATTCTTGCCTAAACTCCCGCCTTGTTATACCATGGTGTACAGCGTGTCCTTGTGTGGGTGCAAGACCTAAGCGTTCAGGCTGATTTAATGGTCACGTTATTCTGGCCTAAACTCCCGCCTTGTTATACCATGGTGTATAGCGTGTCCTTGTGTGGGTGCAAGACCTAAGCGTACAGGCTTGTCTAATGGTCACGTTATTCTGGCCTAAACTCCCGCCTTGTTTTACCATGGTGTACAGCGTGTCCTTGTTTGGGTGCAAGACCTAAGCGTACAGGCTGGTCTAATGGTCACGTTATTGTGGCCTAAACTCCCGCCTTGTTATACCATGGTGTACAGCGTATCCTTGTGTGGGTGCAAGACCTAAGCGTACAGGCTGGTCTAATGGTCACGTTATTGTGGCCTAAACTCCCGCCTTGTTATACCATGGTGTACAGCGTGTCCTTGTGTGGGTGCAAGACCTAAGCGTACAGGCTGGTCTAATGGTCACGTTATTGTGGCCTTAACTCCCGCCTTGTTATACCATGGTGCACAGCGTGTCCGTGTGTGGGAGCAAGACCTAAGCGTACAGGCTGATTTAATGGTCACGTTATTGTGGCCTAAACTCCCGCCTTGTTATACCATGGTGTACAGCGTGTCCTTGTGTGGGTGCAAGACCTAAGCGTACAGGCTGATCTAATGGTCACGTTATTCTTGCCTAAACTCCCGCCTTGTTATACCATGGTGTACAGCGTGTCCTTGTGTGGGTGCAAGACCTAAGCGTACAGGCTGATTTAATGGTCACGTTATTGTGGCCTAAACTCCCGCCTTGTTATACCATGGTGTACAGCGTGTCCTTGTGTGGGTGCAAGACCTAAGCGTACAGGCTGGTCTAATGGTCACGTTATTCTGGCCTAAACTCCCGCCTTGTTATACCATGGTTTACGGCGTGTCCTTGTGTGGGTGCAAGACCTAAGCGTACAGGCTGGTCTAATGGTCACGTTATTCTGGCCTAAACTCCCGCCTTGTTATACCATGGTGTACAGCGTGTCCTTGTGTGGGTGCAAGACCTAAGCGTACAGGCTGGTCTAATGGTCACGTTATTCTGGCCTAAACTCCCGCCTTGTTATACCATGGTGCACTGCATGTCCTTGTGTGGGCAGGCATTGCTTTGATTGCGCCGACAGACCAGACTACCAGTGCATATATACTCAACAACAAAAGTTCCTGTGACACCAATATTTAAGTGTATTTTTCAAACAAGTAAAGTTTGGTTTTCAATATTGTAGTACATGTATGGAATCAAGTCACAAAAACGCAACTTCTACAGAAAAGCATGCATTCCATGCAAAAGTAGACTTTTATGCAAGCCCCATGCATTTCACTACCCAAGAATGGGTATAAAAACGGTGTGCGTTAACGGTATTCCATATGCATTGTTTAGCATCGTGCTGACAACAACCACCCAGAAAAACAACAAAATTACGCGATTATTCAACATTACGAAATGCCACGCCTGTCCAAAAATGAGCGTCTGCGAGCCATTGGTATGCTTGAAGCAGGATCGTGTCAACGTGATGTTGCAAGACAATTTAACGTCCACAGAAACACCATTTGGTGTTTATGGCAACGTTGGCAACAGACGAATGCAGTCAGAGACCATCCTCGGAGTGGCAGGCCAAGCGTAACCAATAACCGACAAGACAACTGGATTCGAACAACAAACCTAAGAAATCGATTCCAGCCAGCAACAGTGACTGCAAGAAGCATCCCTGGCCTTCGACGAATATCTTCACAAACCATACGTCGTCGCCTCAGATGTGCAGGGATTGTCGCCAGAAGACCCGCCAGACGTCCCATTGTGACGGGTAACCACCGGCAATCACGTCTACAGTGGTGCAGACAACGTCTACGCTGGACGGCCATGCAGTGGGGACAAGTTCTATTCACTGACGAGTCTCGTTTTCACCTCAGCCACAACGATGGACGGATTCGAGTGTACCGACGTCGAGGTGAACGTTACGTCAATCATTGTGTCATGGAAGAAGATCGGTTCGGGGGCG